TCAGACATCTTAACCTGTTCAAACACGAAACATCACCTACTCCACCTTGGTTAAAATGTCAGTTTGTTCGTGTAAATTTGTCATGCAAAAAAACAAAGAAAATAGGTGTCACTAAAGAGCAAAAGAATTGAAAGAGTTTAAAGAGTGGCAGAATGAAAGCTAAGAGTGTCATAATTGATAACTGAGACCATTTTTATGAAGAGAAAATTACAGGGCGACCTGTTTCCGGCCTTTTGTAAAGTACTGCAATTCACTGCAACTGATGTGGCATTGTTTTATATTTCCAAAATCTCTTTTTCGGAAACACTAATGAAAAGCGAGTTCACGCCGGCCATTTTTTTTTTTCTGTTCACGCATGAGGGGTAGACAATGCAGATTTGCCCAACACTGAGCGAACCAATCAGGTAGCTTAAAACACCAAGGTGACTGGTCACTAAGTGTACGTGTATATGCAATTCGCAAAGCGTCGATGTACGTCATTCAACGAATCTTTCTCCCAGTATTGTATCTACACTTTTTCCTGGGTCTTGCCCAGGAGGAGTGAAAGTTCGATTGCTGCTATAACTAATTCGGATCGGTATAGCAGAACACCGCAACGGCTTTTATAAAACGATTCCAGTTGTAGATCATTTAAACCATGGATTTAATTTGTTCTGGTGTCCTTGAAATTTTACTTTTTTTAACCCAGGCGATACAGAAAAGGGCGTTCGATGATTACGTTGCAAAATGTATCTTTCTAAAGCAATAAAGCATTAACAAATTACCAAACAAATGTCACATTGGCTGTCTAGGCTATGTACGTAATAGGGCAGTATTAAATCATGAATTTCAAACAGACATCAATTTGGTTGACCTCAATTAGCCTAAGGTGTGAGATAAATTACAAATAGCATAAGGTCTAAACTAAGGCAATTATATCATGAAAAGTCTGTATTCACCTCGATTATCGCAAATTAAAAAGGTTATTTACACAAGAAGTGACGAGCAAAATGTAAGGAACAATGGAGGAACGCACTTTTAAGACAGTTTATTTTATTGTCTTCTTCATTTTTATACACAATTCTTGCCTTTCATCTACGTCATCGCTGCTATGTTGGAGGATATTAACAAAAGATTTCTAATAAGCTTGTTTTATTTGTGTCAACCAATTCAATATGGCCGCCACCCCTTTGTGTGGTTAGATGCAAATCATCAATGCCGTAAGCTTTAAGCTATAGACAGCTATCGTGTCTAGATAAAGGTTTCCGCTTCTATCTTTCAGCTGGCTGGTATACGGCATTGAAAATTCAAATGACGTTATATTGCATATTAGCGTTTTACGGCTAATTAAGCACTTGTTATTAAATCTTGCAAAGTACGGATGCGTAAGATACCTTGTCACGTTTCATGATTGAGTTGTTAAACATTTCATTTCAAGGATAACAAATATCGTAGCCCATGGTCGTGTGCTGATAACACTATATTTCTCTCAAATTTGTGTAGTGTTAACGCCATGACAGAGTTATATACTGGCGTTTACAGACGAAGCCGCAAACCTCAAGTAGCGTGGCCTCAGTTCAAACGCGTGAGTTTTAGCTAGCAGGCGCCAATAGCCGCTCAACGGGTCAATAGTCACGGAAAACATTTATTAATTGGAGTAGTTTTTGACGTAATCCTAAGAGCTCATTGTTTTATAACATACGGTCCTCTTGTTATATTTAGGACTAACTAGGGGGGCTGAATTAAATATTTCATTCTACGTCAGATATCGACAGATATCGACTTCCAGATTAGAAAATAACAGCGTTATGAGAGACCAGAAACGGTGCCAAAAAATGGACAGCCACCGCTCAGGAATACGAAGCAAGTACGATAAGGAGATGGATAATGCTTTCACTCTGATTTTCCATAACATCAAGAGGCTGCAAGACGGCCAGTTGAGCAACAGTCCTCTTAATGGCGACACCGCTGGTAGACAAGCAGAGATGAACCCGGCCAGCACATTGCAAGTATCTATGCAAAGACCACGTGCCAGTTCCGACCCCTTAAACGGACTCGCAGAAGGCGGAATTTTCCGTCAAACCAAAGAGGTATCAGACACTCGTCCAAAATCTAAGTCAATTACAAATGAGGCTAGTCCAACATCGCAGCGACGAAAGGTTACATTTGCAGACGATTACACAGCGAAGCAACAACGCCGAAGAGCGTCGAATTTAATCAAAAGACCATCGTCAGATCTTCAAACACGTGTTGTTTTTAATGAAAGATGATACTGAGTCTTCAAAAATGGACTAAACTATTCAATGCAGACCAATGCGGACTCGTAGACCAATATTGAGAAAATGGCGGTCAATCCAGTCGCATACTTTATGAATAACACTGACAAAAAAGACAGTGCGATAAATTAAAAAGAGTAGTTTAAAAATTGATACCCGGGTTTAAAGTAAACACTGAGCTGTCGCTCTTGATATATGCATTTGTGAATAAAGCAATGACGTGTGTCGCTATTCATATCGGCCAGGCTCGAAGATCGAGTTTACACAGGCTTACACTGCCATTTCCGACCAGAACTTACCTTACCGTAATCAGAAATGTAAACTCTACTGTATAACGTCTTTCTGGAGCCCACTGAATATAGGAAGCGTGTGATATATGATTTATAACATGTAGTGTGCTTAGAATGGAAATTGCCTATCGAGCTGTGCACAGTTGAACAAAGCGAATTAATATAAAACCGATTTCTTTCCTAACACACTTAACCTCTACTTTATTTACATTTTTTTTTTTTTTTTTTTTGTGCATTATTACATTCTTTCAGTTGGTTACTATTGATCCCAGACGTTTGTTGACTTGACTCTTTTTTCCGGCTGTTACACGCACCATTTTTTTCATTCACAGATTCAAGTGATCACGTGATTACGAATTTCATGATCGCGTGACGAGAGAATTTCCTGCCGTCGGGGAAGGTTATTCACCGTTTGTTTACAAGTTTCTTGAGTTTCAAACTTTCTAGCAAGTTACAATTGCCTTCCCTACACAACCGAACACACTCAAAGGTTGAGGCATGGGCGTGTTGGTGTTCTGTTGTATTAACAACAGAATGAAAAAACAAATCATATGACGCTAATTACGTAATAAAAATAAACCTCATGGGAAAGTGCTGGTGGCAAGGCTGACCGTAGAATGTCATAAGTTTCTCAACCGTCTCTTTTTACAAACGTACTACCCATGAGCCTTCGCATACTACTCTCTCACCCAGTTCTCCGTTCCGTGTCGGCAAAATATTAATTTATGTCAATACCGATTATCACAAATTACATATTTCAACAGACGTCTGCAGATTGCCGAGAATGCTTTACATGCTATTTTGTAAATTAACTGGATAAGTATGCGCGTCCTGATTGGTCGAAAATGTTTTTGCCATTTCAATGGCACAATGAACCCTTAAAATCCAAGTGAGTTTTTAACTCGTAGGTTAGCTATCATTTATATATCATGTAAGATCGGCTTTAGCTGGTTTTCATCCCGTTCTTCTATTCAGGTTGAATTGGAATTCGAAGAATTAAAGTTGCTTTTTTTTTGGAAGTAGGAAAAGCACAGAACCCGGAGAAAAACCCTCGGAGCAAGACGAGAACCAACAACCGAACTCAAACCACAAATGGTACCTGGCTGGAATCGAACCCGGACCACATTCGGTCATGTTGGTGGGAGCGGTCGCTATCCCTGTTC